GTTTCTATTGGTCGACGAAAGCTCCCCAAAGGCAGAGTCCCCAGCCGCTTCAGGGTGAGGCATGGCTGCCCGTGTCCCCTCACCATTAGGCAGTGTCTTTTGGGCGATGGAAGCTCCCCAAGGGCGGTCACCAGCCACTTCGATCGGCCGATAGAAGCGGCCTCGCGGTGCTTGCCCCCAGGCCGCTTCTACCAGCCGATCGAAGTGACTGGTGACTGGGGAGCTTCCATTGCCCAAAAGACACTACCTAATGGCGAGGGGACACAGGCAGCCACACCTTGACCCAAAGCGGCTGGGGACTCTGCCTTCAAGGGAGCTTTCATCAGCTGATAGAAGTGGCCTTGCGGTGAGGGGAATGTGCGTGTGCGCTCACCCCGAGGCCGCTTCTACCGGCCAAAGTGGCTGGTGACTGCCCTTGGGGAGCTTCCATCGCCCGAAAGACACTGCCTAATGGAAAGGGGACATGGGCAGCCATGCCTCGCCCCAAAGCGGCTGGGGACTCTGCCTTCGGGGAGCTTCTATCGGCTGATGTTCTATCGGTAGATCTGGGTATTCTAGCCTAGGCTACCTGCAGGGCACTCCTAAAGGCAAGTTTTCTCCCCACCCAACCACCCCCACCCTTCCCCCCCATTTCTCTTCACCTCGTGTAGTTCTAACGAACGATGTGAGAAATGGCAGGGAAACGCATGGATTAAATAGGCCTAAATTTTGGGGGTGGGGCTTAATTTCACCTCATGCCTAGAAATCATGCTGGGCCTTCCTATTGGTGGAGGCCGTATTGTTGGAGAAACACGGTACTTTAATGAAAAGAAGGACTAGGGTGACATAATAGCAGTGTTCCAATATCTAAGGGGCTGCTAAAGAAGAGGGAAACCTATCCTCTCCTGAGGGCAGGACAAGAAGCAATGGATGGAAGCTAATCAAGGAGAGAAGCAACCTAGAACTAAGGAGAAATTTCCTGACAGTTAGAACAATTAATCAGTGGAACAACTTGCCTGCAGAAGTGCTCCAACACTGGAAGTTTTGAAGAAGAAATTGAACAACCATTTGTCTGAAATGGCATAGGGTTTCCCGCCTGAGCAGGGGGTTAAACTAGAAGACCTCCAAGGTCCCTTCCAACTCTGTTATTCTGTTAAACCACCTTTATAATTTATGCAGTGTAAACTCTTGTGTATATACGTCGCTTGTTTTACCTCTCTAGAGCCAAGAGAGATTTCCAATTGCTTGCAGCGCTGACTACTATCTTGTACTCATTGATACTCAATTTGACAGCTCCTTAATAGGAGAAAGATTTAGCAGACTAGAAATTCCCCACAGTTAACTGCTTTTCTGACTTGAAAAGATGTCCTCTTTCATTATTAACCCACAAAGTGACAAAGACAGTGCTCTCTGCCCTGCAGTTTTCTGCCTCCTTTTACTGATATACTTGGTTTTGCAGCCCATATAAATTGTTATATTTCTACACGGGATTGATAAACTCTGAAACTTGTACTAAGTTAGAATGTTTTCAATTCAGGGCTAAAGTTAATTTTTGTTGTTAGATTGGAACCTCAAAGCAGTTTTATGTTATTTTGAGTGGTAACACAACAGACTTTCCCTAGTCTGAATAATAAAAAAAAAAATTTCTTCTTCTTCAAAAGTCACCAGAGAACATCCAGGGCTCTTTTAACCGAACTGTCCTGACGTGTATGTTCAGGGCTACATCATCCCTGGATAATCCTATTTCCTTTCTCCCCAATTTACACAATTTTTCCACCTCTCCCAAGCAAAAGGAGCTTAGACTTGCCACCCCTACAGCCCCAGATGTTCTAGATGTCAGTCCTTAGTATGTCACAAAATTATGTCCTCCTACACCATCACTCAGGCTTCAGCTAAAGGTTATTCAGGTTAAGATTTTAGGACCAAAATGCTCTTTTCTGTCAGCTCACAATTATCCTTCTCCCCTTCTCCCAGGGGTGGCTTTCTGGGCTTATTAAGAGTCATTTGTGAGCAATTCCCATCAAAGCCTTCAATAATTAGGCTTGTATTAATAGCTCTTTGCTTTTAATATTTGCCTCCCTTTGAAACCAGGCGTCCCTGATCTCCCTCCATCCTCCCCCCACTCACACATCTGCCTTAACCTTGTTAAGCAATGCCCTAATTTACTTTTCAAAACTAGATAACTACTGGAGGAGCCAGGGACAAGATTATCCACCCGAGGTGGCATCTACCTTCTCTCCTGTGTCCCTTATACAGCCACCACACAAGGAAATGTCCCATTATTCCTGTCTCTTTGCCTGGGCTTTGGCATGTTTTTTTCTAAAAACTTGAGGTCCTTTTTGATTTGCTTTCAAGTCTAGCTATGCTAAGAGATGTTCCATGATTTCTCCTTATTCCAGAAAGGAGGGAAGGAAAAGGCAGTTGTCAGGAAGCCTTTCTATTTCTCTCCCTCTCTCCCTCCCTTCCTCCCTCTCTCTCTCCTTCTCTCTCCCTCTCTTCCTCCTCTCCTTCT